TAACAAAGCTATACACTCTGCAGCATTGTTTCCAGGCCTGGGTTTTGTTAACCAGCTACTGACATATATATGGCCCAGGGCGATGCTGTAACAGGTGCATTCCTCTTGCCAGGAAAGGCTTCAGTTCAGTTCAGTTACTAGTTTGAGCTACTTCAGTTTCTAGGTACCACTCTTTCAAGAGTTTCCTGCTGTAAATAGATAGGGTCTCAAGAGGTCATTGTACAGTGAGATGTACGCATGGCATACATGGCAGGGAAGCTCTGCCCGGGCCATGAGACCTGTGTGCTACAGAAGGAATTTGACTACTCTGACAACAGCTCTCATCGCCTCTAAGGCGATGGGTCAGACACCCTGGAGGCCAGATCAGGCTCCATCAGCTGGACTGCCCTTCGATACTGTATCTTTCAAGGAGTGCTGTCAAACCAGTGTATGCGGCTCACCCACTCCAGCACCAATGGCCATTGATATTGCCATACACATCTATGGAAGCAGAGTCCTTCTACTTTATTGAAGAAATGGAGACGAAGGATAGTGAATTACAAGTGTTTGCAATATTGAATTACTACTGGGAGTAATGGGTGTCTGTGCTGTTCTGTTACTGCACGTGCCCCATATCCTTGCTCAAATACTGGCATTTTCACTCTCTGGCATTCACTCTGCCAAATACAATTGTTCATATGAACTGCACAGTGCAAAATATGGGGTCTGCCTAGATGTTTTTCTTGCCAAGGAGGGTGAAGCAAAGGGTTCATCAAAATGTTTCACCTTTTCCTTCTCCCAAGAAGAACCAGTAATCTGGCAAAGAAAGGACCCAGTTGGAAAGGGACTTTTCACCCACTCTGACAGCTGTGTAAAGAACAGAGCTGCTACTAAATGAGCTGATCTTATTGTAACCAGCTGATGTCCACACCTTCCTCTGTTGCCTCCAGCGGCAACCTCTCTTCCCTTTAGACATATTGTCAATCCATCGAGCAGGATTTTTTTTCTCCCATATTTGTAGGGGATGGGTAGCATGGTACCACTTGCAATCAAGTGCTGACGAAAATGTTTCACAGATATAACAAAAGATGGGCTCCACCTTGCAGAATCTTTCTTCCTGGAGTTGATCAGCAAGAAGGAAAGAATGAAGTTCAGCTTGAGGTTCAGCTGGGTTGAAGGACCAGAAGTTGGAAAACAAAAACAAAGCATATTTGTATTGTAACCTAAAAAATGCACCCAAGAAGCTTCCAAAGGTCCAGAAGTATTTTACCTTTGAATTAGAACAGCACTTTCTATTAAAATAAAAATCCTAAAACATGTGCTAAAACAAGTCCTTGCTAGTAGCTCTACTTTCTGTTTCCCCAGACGTTAGTCATTATTAGCATTCTAGTGCAGAAGAGTCTCCATGTAGCAGGACTATCTTCTAAATTACTTTGGATGATAGACATAATGAAGTTAAAAATTTCACTCATCTTTGCCCTGTCATAAATGAAAGCACATATTATACTCATTCAAAAAATAGCTAACCATAGAGTTAGGTTCAAGTTACATTTTCAATGTAGAAATGTTTATGCTGAAAAAGCCTAGATACTTTCTTGGAAGTAGTTTAATGATGTAAAATAGTCCATTAATGGATTTTGACTACTGTGCAGTTTTTAAAATAATGTCCCTTGTAATTAGTTGTTTCATCATTCTTTTATGTGCCTTGCTTATTTCAAATTCCAGGGAAAGAAGGCTGCTAAGCTGATATAATGAGATAATATCCTTCACTGGCATAAGTAAGGCTATGAGATGGACTGCTACCCACATTGGTAATTAT